GCTCCCCAGACTCGGAGCTCAGCTCTCCAGACTCGAAACCACCTCCATAGGCTCAGAGCGAAGCTCTCTAGGCTCGGAGCCAGTTCCTTAGGCTCGGAACCAGCTTCCTAGGCTCGGAGCCGAGCTCTCTAGGCTCGGAGCCAGCTCCATAGGCTCCGAGCCGAGCTCTAAAGGCTCCAAGCGGAGCTTCCTAGGCTCCGAGCCAGCTCCTTAGCTCGAATGGCTTGGAGCCAAGCTCGATAAGCTCGGAGGGCTACCGAGCTCCATAACCTCTGGGATTCAATGATTCAATCTATGATTCAATGATCCAATCTTATGATTCAATGCTTCAATTTATGATTCAATGATTCAATGATTCAATCTTTAACGATTCAATGATTCACTCTTAGGATTCAATGATTCAATGATTCAATCTTTAACGATTCAATGATTCACTCTTAGGATTCAATTATTCAATCTTATCATTCAATGATTCACTCTTATCATTCAATGATTCAATCTTAGGATCCAATGAATCACTCTTATGATTCAATGATTCAATCTTCAACAGAAGCTTCACAGAAGCTTCACAGAAGCTTTACAGAAGCTTGACAGAAGCTTGACAGAAGCTTGACAGAAGCTTTACAGAAGCTTCACAGAAGCTTGACAGAAGTTTCTGTGAAGCTTCTGTGAAGCTTCTGTAAAGCTTCTGTCAAGCTTCAGTAAAGCTTCTGTAAAGCTTCTGTGAAGCTTCTGTGAAGCTTCTGTTGAAGATTGAATCATTGAATCATAAGAGTGATTTATTGGATTCTAAGATTGAATAATTGAATGATAAGAGTGAATCATTGAATGATAAGATTGAATAATTGAATCCTAAGAGTGAATCATTGAATCGTTAAAGATTGAATCATTGAATCATTGAATCATAAATTGAAGCATTGAATCATAAGATTGGTCATTGAATCATAGATTGAATCATTGAATCCCAGAGGTTATGAAGCTCGGTAGCCCTCCGAGCTTATCGAGCTTGGCTCCGAGCCATTCGAGCTAAGGAGCTGGCTCGGAGCCTAGGAAGCTCCGCTTGGAGCCTTTAGAGCTCGGCTAGGAGCCTATGGAGCTGGCTCCGAGCCTAGAGAGCTCGGCTCCGAGCTGGCTCCGAGCCTAAGGAACTGGCTCCGAGCCTAGAGAGCTTCGCTCTGAGCCTATGGAGGTGGTTTCGAGTCTGGAGAGCTGAGCTCCGAGTCTGGGGAGCTCGGCTCCGAGACTAGGAAGCTCGGCTCGGAGCGTATGGAGCTCGGCTCGGAGCCTATCGAGCTCGGCTCGGAGCCTAAGGAGCATGGTTCCGAGGCCATGGAGCTCGGCCCCGAGCCATTCTATCTCGGCTCCGAGCCTATTGGTGCACGGCTCTGAGGCAATCGGCTCCGAGAGAGTTGGCCAACATCTCGGGTGATGAAAGCAGCCACAATGATGAAAGCAGCCGCGATGACGAGTCAGATAGTGAAACGTCTCAAACAAGTGACGATATATATTAAAAGCATAACTTTGTAAAACATTTTGAAGTAATATATATTTACTTTAAAAGTGAAATATTGTGCGAACTTTTGCTTGCAAAGCCACGCGCCCGATTTTAAGGTAATAAATAATCCCTGTCTATCCATAATAAGCACTTAAGAGATTAAAATTTTGCTTATAATCCTTTAATGACTGTCAATGACTTTGGCGGTATGCGTCTTGCATATAATCTGTAATAACTCTCTGTTTGTAAGTATTTTTCCTGCCTCAAGCTCCGCTGGATGAAATAAAAACATTGTATATATCCACACGAGGTGGACCGGTTAATCACTTTTTAATGACTCTGTAATATGCAAATATCGACCATAGCAACGGCGTTGACAGCGATTTTAACTTGGGCTTAGCAACTGCTTAGTTCTGTTTAAAAATTTTCATATGTATGTCTGGATTGTTATTATTCCTTGTCTAATAGTCCTAAACATGGTGAATACATCCCCAGGGAAAACCAAGGATGGTGCTAAGGTAGTGGACACTCTAAGATAATCTAATAAAACCTTGTAATACGATGAATTCAAATACACCTTTTATGCTCTACTTCTACTGTCGTTTATGATTTTGGAGAATTTTGGATAAACTGCGATATTCTCCGCAGAATTTCCCCCAGAATCTTTGCAAACTCCTATAAGTCAGGGAAACGACATCGTAGTGGCCAGAAATAAAAACTGCAGATAAACAAACGGTAGCGAAGTAGCCAAAAATATAAATTGTAGAATGTAGATAAACAAACGACAGCAGTTCAAAAATATCATGTAAGCTCAAATAAATTAAAATGACATGAATAAATTAAAATATTTGAGAATCGATGACGTCATGGGCGGTGCTTCGTGCACCGCCTGCGCCAGAACCCCCACTGTCTATACTACATTTTTACCTGATATAGGTAGGTTGTTTAATATGCAAAAAACTAAAAAGTATCAATTCGGAATCCTTAGCTTTCTTTGGACAAGAGGTCACTCTTCTGCATGGCCGCCATATTGGCCTTTCCCTTTGGCTTTACCCAATCATAGGCAGTTTGTCTCGAGTTGTTGTTGAAACGCAAGGGAAAGGTTTTATGTAAAAAAATTGCGTGGACAAACTAATTAATTTAATATGTTAGAGACAAATTTGTTCATTTTATTACTAATCAGCATTATTTCATCCTCATTAACGAATTTTCACAAATCACGTTCGCAATAATCTAACCGTGTCTGGATCCTCTCCTGCACACAAAGAATGAAAAAGTCAAGCTATTCCACGCAAGGCCAATTCATGACATTTTTAATATGTTTCAGTTATTCCAGATGTCCATTCCACGTTTTAGACAATGCCACGCCCGTCCTTTTTATTTAATCCTGACGACAACAGCTTTGGATGTAACCCCACAATTATCATTTCGTTGAGCAATTTTGATATATCCAGACTCACCCCAAGCTTTTGACCATGAGTTCTTTATCAACCAGTAAGGAATGCCTCTTTCTGCGCCATATCCGACGGCCAAGGCAGCATGGTCGAGGTTACTGCCTAAAGAAAATAGATAAAATGCTTGAAGGTATTAAATGTCTTCTGTCTAGAGGTTTAAGTCTATTACAGACGAGAAAGTTTTCTATGAAAAGTTTTCATACTGCAGGTTTTTAGTTTGTGACTGCAACAGTAGCCACTGCAACAATATACCCCTTGTCCAGCCGAATCCAAGTGCTCAAAATAATTAATCATATTTTACATTACATTACATTACATTACATTACATTACATTACATTACATTTAATATATTATTATTCAGCTCGCTCACACTGATTGGGGCTTTCAGTGATCGGTTACATCAAGTATATATTACGCTCATGTTACTCACCTAGCCTAGACTATTTATCTTTACAACAATTGAGATACTACTTGCCTAACTCTGTTTATCCTAACCCACCCCGCAAACTTGCCCTGTGGGAGGAAACCGGAGCACCCAGAGAAAACCCACGACTTTCAATTCGGCAGAGCGTTGACTAACTTTTTTCACATCAGCCGTATAGCGAGAATAGAACCCACGATCTCAGAGGTGAAAGGCGTTTGCTGTAACGACTGCGTCACCCAAGCCCAAACAGAAACCCCACGCATTTTAGACCCGCACAGACGAGAAAATTTTGAAATTTGCTATTTTTTTTAGGACAATATCACTTGTTCAATTCAAAATTAAGCTAGTATATATATATAGCCTTTAGACAAGTTGTGCGACAGGAAATCTTGGCAAAATCAGTTGATCATATCTCGTAGTACGAAAAATAAGAATTTCGGGTTCCTGAAATTCATTTTCGTTTGGGTATTTTATGCGATGTTTTGAGTCGTTTACAATGACGTGAAATGTTGCGCAAAAATTCAAAACGTTCTTGCTATACATTTAAATATTTCAGTGTGACACATGTTTCGGAAAATTTGGTCGCCAAATTTTTAGTGATATCGGCAAATACAATATATACACCCTCCCTGATAAAGCTTTTCCCGACGGCTCTAGTTATACTCCAAAACGTTGCAAATTAAAAATAATTATTTGTGTAAGCCTGTGGTCTGATTTACTGACACACTGCAAGAAACAGTGCCTTTTTACGAATTTGTCAGTGGGGGGAGGGGGTATCACGAAAAAAGGACCTAAAAAGAGGTGGTGAAATGAAAAACGGGATCTTTCAGGGACACCACCTCTAGAAATTTTTTGTTTTTTTGGGCCTCTGTGGCTTCATTTTCGGTATTTTTAGACACAACGTTTAGAATCGCTCTCGTTATTTAGGAGGCAACTGTTCAGACTAAATTTATTATAACTGCTTCATTATCGACTTCAACCTTGGCTACATGTGTTGATTATTTTTACTATTTATTTCGTAGTTATTTTAGTTTAATTTTAGCTAGATTGACATTTACAGATTTTGGGTGCCAATGTTTAGGGGAATCGTAAATTCTGTTTTTGGTTTCCCCGATACATTCAATTTATCCTTATTGAAGATAATTGACAGGCATTAAAAATGATTAAGTTATTTATAATAATGGTATCATTCATGTTAAAAAAGCTTAAATATCAAGATTTTGTTCGCATCTCACTCGATCGAATAATATACAGTTGGAGGGTTTTGTGAGTCAAGGCACTTTTAATACCATGGACTGGTGGGGCGCGCATTTTCCCCACTGGGCCCCTTCCTCTGCCCCACCACTGAAGAAAAAAATGGCCTATTGCCCCAAAGCCAGGGCCCTAAGTCCTGTATTGAGTAAATGAGTTTAACATTGAAAAGAATTTTAAAAAACAAAATTTGTTGGTGATTATACTTAAATTTTATGTTGTGTTTGAATGTTTAGCATGCAATTTATTACAAATTGAAATTATTAATACTTTAATTGTTTTGAGAAGCTGAGATTTTTTTAAAATGTGTTCTCAGAATGCAGGAAATGCTATTTCAGAAACCCAAATTTTAAAAATTTCCTGGGGAGGGGGGAGGGCATGCCCCCAGACCCCCTAGCTAACCCGTGCCTGCGGTACTCGGCTCACACCTTCGGCGATTACATACTATCCTGGGGGGAGGGCAAGGAGAAAATGGGCCTCTTGGCAGTTTTGCCCCACCACTGAAGAATCCTTAAAAAATGCACTGTTGTGAATGGAAATTATCGAGTGGAAATTCTACACACATTTATTAGACCTTACCAAGAACAGCTGCAAAAAATTCAACTGTAGGTTCTTGACAGGAATCGAACCTGCGGCCCTGCGCTTCCGGTGCAGCGCTCTAGCCTACTGAGCTATAGAGGCCAGTTGTCGAGTTCTAACTGCCATGTTAAGGTATGGGTAAATATCAAGATTTTGTTGGCGTCTCACTTGATTGAATAATAGATGGAAATTATCAAGTGGAAATTCGATATAAAATGTAAGCTTACCTGAACATTCTGGATCATAATATATTCCAGAGCTATAGAACTTGAATGACTTGGGTTGGGTATTAATCAGCACGCTTATTGGTCCATATTGTGCAATAGCTTGCTTCAACTCAGTCGCATTTTCTTTACCTATATTCATGTACGAGTCTACACGAACACCAATACTGACGTTCTTAAAATGACAATATCCTTCCTAAAAAGGAGAAAAGTTCATATTATTCTACATGACAAAACAAGAGGTTCCTTTCTCAAACGGTCGAGAGCAACGGTGGAATTCCAAAGTTTAAAATGAAAAAAGGAGTATGGTCGATGATATTTCGAACAACTGATTCGACATTAAAGAACAAACGATGTCCAGATTAATGAATTATTCTTAAAATAACTGGAAATACATGTGTGCAGTAACCCCTCGCCAATAGTTTCCAAATATTGATTCAACATCAAACATTAGCAATTGGCTGATATTGAACGCAGGGTCGCGTTGCCTGCGTCAAGTATTGCTACACAATCATTTCTATTTTTAAAATTTCTTTGTATAAAAGTGGAAAAAATAGTTGAAAAATTAGTTCTTTTAACTATACAACAATGAATTTCTGAAACATATACTGTAGGTGTGTTCCAAGCACAATATGTTTTGAAATTGAAGTGTTGCTTACCATGAACAATGTCATGATAAACTTTTCAATCTACTTGCTTTCCCTATAACCCTAACCTAATGGCGTTTAATAGTGGTAAATTTAGAACAGTACCTGTGCTAAGTATTTTCCATAATTATTCTCTCTTGCCAAGCCACCATGTTTTAAAATCCACTGCATGGCCCTATGTGGGTAGCCACCTCTACAACCCCGATTTCCGAATCCCCAAGAACAATCGATAATTTCTTGCTCGGAGAAATCTGGAAGATAGCCTTTCTATTCACCAAAGATAAAGAGAATTCATGAAGAATAAGTTCAAAATTCATGAGCGGAGCCATGCTAAAATAGTTTCCTTCCACATGGCCTTTTTTGAGAATCAAAAAAGGAAATTAAGGAAAAAGGGACCTATTCATCTATACTAAGGTAGGGACCGCGGAGCGATTGCTGTATTGGGTTGTAGACAATAATCTCTGCGATCGCCTTTTGGACGATGTTTATTTACGTTTCGTTAGAGCATGCGCATGAGAGCAAATATGGCGTGCGAAGGAAAACAGTGTTTTACCTACATCTACTATTTTGTAATTTTCCATATATTTTGATAATTAAAGTGAGTTGAAACCTGTTTTCGGCCACATTTACTGGCAATCCCAGTACAGTAAAACACTAACGTTCGCTGTGGCATTCCAGAATTGTGAAGAAGCCTACATACAAAGGAGTTTTCCAGCCCGAAACTTGTGTATTGCTTGAAGACAAATCCAGGAATCAGCCATGAATGTTGAAGATAAAAAACAAGAAAGAAGCAAGGCTAAAATGGCGGTCACTGTCGCAGCGAGGCGTCTGATCGGAGTCTACAACAGAGATTGTGAATATGATATTTTAAAGGATTCAATGTTCGAACTTGAAAGGGTATTTGATGATTTTTGCGTTATAAATGAGGAATACGAACTTATTGTATCTGACGAAAAAATACGCTGAACACCGTGTAGTTAATGGTGAAGACATTAGGACTTACAGAGACAATGTAAAAAGGTGCTATCAAGAAGCTATGAGTGTATTTGTTAGTGTAAAGACAACAATCGAACAAAAAGCTAGACAACAAAGTGCTGGGCCTGTCAAAGTTGCCCTAAAGAATGACATTTGTAGAATTCATGAACTAATCACAGTCGTTGATGAGAGTTTTAAACTGGATAATGTGAATATGGCAGCTTTACAACTAGATAAGAGTGATCTACAGTCAATTTTGAACATAATATGTGATAACATGGCAAAACTTGGCTCGATTGAAACACAAGAGCAAGTTAACCTAATCCAAGAAGAAGTCGATGCTATTATCAGAGCAGTTTACAATTGCATCAGAAAGATAAACTTGTTTTTGCATGAGCAACAAGCATTTGTTAAATCATTACACATTGAAAATGCCACTCTCCCCTCTGAAACCAACACCCCCCCTGAGAACACTGAACCATCAACACCGTGTCCCCCCGGAGATCAACACCAACATCCCCCCTGAGGACACTGAGACCATCAACACCATGTCTCCCCCCGGAAATCAACACCAACACCCCCCTGAGAACACTGAGACCATCAACACCATGTCTCCCCCAGGAAATCAACACCAACACCCCCCTGAGAACACTGAGACCATCAACACCATGTCCCCCCCAGAAACCAACACCCCCCGTGAGACCATCAGCACCACTTCCCCCACGGCAATCAACACCAATATCCCACCCTGAGCCCATTTATACTGCAACCCACCCTGAAATTATTGACACCCCTGCAATCGAGACCAACACAATTCCACCTATGTTGCCAATTAACGTTTCCCCCCTTAATTACTCCAGTCCCTTTGGCACCCAAGTTACCACCAACATTACAGAGGCCAACACCCCCCTACCAACCTTACCTGGGACCAGTACGGGTTTTTGCTTGAATACATCAGCTCAAACCTTCATTCCCTCTTCCACCTTTCATTCGGAAAGCAGTTCCACATCGGGACAAACGCATTTGTCTCAGCAATGTCAGAATCCTACAAATTTATCAACAGGTTTCCCTGCATTTGCAATGCCAATGGGATCAAATCTGCCAAGAGTGGCATCCAGCTATTATAGCAACCACAATCAGACCAGGAGCAATTTGTCAACCAGTCCTATGTATACAACCCTATCTGGACATCAACCCACAGTCCCGTTGATTAATACAAGACCTTCCCACCAAGATTCCACCATTCGGCTAAAAAGGATGGCCCTACCCACATTCTCCGGACTTAGGAAAGACTGGCCAGAGTTCAAGGCAGTCTGGAAGTCGATGGCTGAGTCTGCAAGTTATAATAAAACTGCATTAGCACACGAACTTAAGAACTCAGTTAAAGGAGAAGCCAAACACCGCATCAAATCTGTTTTTGTCACCAAGCCCGAAGCTTACGACATCATGTGGGAAAAGCTAGAGTGTCACTATGGAGATACTACTGCCAGTGTACAAGCTGCTTTGGAAGATCTTCAAAGGCTAAAACCTGTAAAAGAAGAAGATTATAAAGCTCTGGTTGAATTAGTGGATGAAGTTGAATCTGCCTACAGTCAATTGGAAGAGCTCAACCAGCTAAACACTTTAACCATGCGAGCTGTAGACAACCTAACTGATTTGTTACCTACCCATCTTAAAGTCGACTGGAGACGAAAGTATCGTGATTTATCGTCTGCGGAGAAGCTTCAACAATTTACTCCGCTGATGAAGTTCCTAGAGAGAGAACGTTCAGTTGTGGCTCGTTTAGCAGAGAATCAGCATTCTAAGAAAAGAGGAAATGACAATGCAAGAGGATACAACAAAACCTATCATGTTGAAAGAGGTGCAAAACACGGACAAAGAACCTACTACAAGTGTGCCTTCCCCACCCACAGAAAAGACACCATAAATCATACCACCGAACAGTGCAAAGAATTCCAGAAATTGTCCATCAGCGGTAAAGATGGCAGATATGAGTTGTTGAAGCAGGTAAACGCTTGTTTCAAATGTTTTGGTAATCATAGGAAGCTTAACTGCCCCAAAAAACTCCCATGTTCCTCATGTGGAAGTGACCAACATCATTCCCTGCTGTGCATCCCACCAAAGCTCAGCTCCCAAAAGATTCCGAGGAGAAATCGAAAACTGGAGATGATGGGAACAAGGAAGTAGCATCCTATACCGTAGGAAGTGATTCAATGGCATTATATCCCATCCACCAAGCGACCATTAGTGACAGTGGTAAAAAAGTGTCCGTCTTCTGTGACGGAGGCTCTAACGCAAGTTATATCACTCATCGTGCTGCGGAAAGAATCAAAGCAAGGAAAGTTAAAAAACTCTCTCTTGACGTGACAACTATGGGAAATGTCGAGAAAACGTACAACACGTGGCAATACGAGTTTCCAATCAACACAAGTGCTGGAAAGAAAGTCACTATTACGGCGTTTGGTATCGAGCGAATTACCGGACAAGTAAGCAAACTGGATCCTGAAGTCCTGGTCAAGTTATTTCCAGAATATGATCCTGAAACACTCCAGCGAAAGTCAACACACGTGGATGTCCTGCTGGGCTGTGATTACTTCGGTCTCCATCCAAAGCAAGAAGAAGCCAGATGTGGTGACAATCTAAGTATCATGAATGGAGCATTGGGGATTTGCCTCCAAGGCGCCCATCCAGATCTGATCGAAGAAACAAGATATGACACCAATCTCGCAAAGAAAATTCACGATGTTAACGTGAAAGTGGAGACATACAAGACACGCTTGGACTCACATCCAGAGTTCCATCCCAACCATACCAGAGAATGTTCTGTTAATGTATCGAGTTCCTATAGTCACCGAAAGGACGAAAGCCAGATTGACAATTTTATACAAGGAGAAGAACTTACCACCGAAAGTTCTCCACAATGTGGTGGATGTCGCTGTAATAAGTGCCCTACTGTCGGACACACTTACTCTTTCAAAGAAGAACAGGAATTAAAACTGATTCAAGAAAACCTCGAGTACGACGAAGTTAACCAATGCTGGATAACCAGTTATCCCTGACTGGTAGATCCACAAAGTTTACCCGACAATTATCACACTGTACTTGCTACGTTAGAAAGAACTGAAAGAACGCTTAAGAAAGATGACCAATGGGCTAAGACGTACAAGAGCCAAATGGACGATATGGTCGATCGTTGTGTAGCAAGAAAACTATCATCCGAAGAAGTAAAGAGCTGGACTGGCCCGGTGTTCTATATCTCCCATTTAGCAGTTGTAAACCCGCATTCCAATTCTACGCCCGTGAGAATTGTGTTCAACTCCAGCCAAACGCACAAAGGTGTTTCATTAAATGCTTGTCTCGCAAAAGGTCCAGACAGCTACATGAACAACTTGGTTGGTATTCTTCTACGTTGGAGAGAAGAAAGAGTAGCGCTAGTCGGAGATATTCGAAAGATGTTCAACTCGGTTTATTTGAAGGCCTTGGAACAGCATTTCCACCGTTTCCTATGGCGAGATTTACAGCAGCATCGCCCACCGGACATTTACGTTATACAACGAGTCAATATGGGCGATACACCAGCCCCCGTCATCAGCACAGAAGCTGTCTACAAGACCGCGGAGTTGTATCGAGAGGATAATCTCCTAAAACATTCCAGTTACATGGATGATTTGATTGACTCACGTCCAAGTAAACCCGACGCGTTAAAGATTGCCAAGGAAGCCGAGGATATCCTTGCCAAAGGAGGATTTGCTGTAAAGTGCTGGCAATTCAGTGGCGAAACACAACCTCGCGTGAAAGAAGAGTTGTTAAAATTGGACCTGCCAGAAAAGAGTGTTGAAAGCTCAGACCAAGGACTAATAATGTTAAAAGGAACTGATGAAAACTTACGAGTGCTCGGTCTGGGATGGAACCAAAAGAAAGAACCACTTCCCGGTGAAAAGAAAGTCCATGTTGCAGCAGCATCGAGCATAGAGGCATTGTTGATCGACTATGAACGATTCAGCAGTATCAACAAAGCTATTTGGGTCGTCGCCAGATTGCTAAACATTGCGAAGAAGAAAAGTTTTAAAGGCGGAAGGACTCTGTCCATCTCGGTTAAGCAATTACAAGAAGCCGAGAACTTTATTGTTAAAGAAGTTCAGAAATCATTTGAAAGTGAACTGACAAAAACTGACCGCAAAGCCAGAAAAGGTGGTCGTTTCGCTTGTTTGAATCCAGTCCAAGATGAAAGTGGACTCTGGGTAGTGGGACAGCGCCTGAAGAACAAAAATCCCATGACAGTGGATTCTTCGCTGCAAAAGCTATTGCCCTACCGACATCATGTTACCAGACTCTTTATGCAACGAGCTCACACTTCTGGTCATAGAGGGCGTGATGCAACCTGACGTCAACTCTACTGGGTAACCCAAGGAAGCAAACTCGCTCAATCAATCAAGAGTAAATGTCAGATGTGCAAGCTACGAGAAACAAATTTCAACTTTCAAACAGCTTTCAACCACGTTATGATAGACCTTTTCGAACCCTACTCGGTTCGTGGAGAAGTACAGAAAAGAACAAGTGGTAAAGCGTACGGAGTAATCTTTACAGATCTAGTTATGAGAGCAGTCCACATTGAAGCTGTGTTCGGGTACGATACCGAATCATTCCTAATGGCCCTCAGCAGATTCGTCAGCGTTCGTGGTTGGCCCGAAATCATATGTAGTGATCCCGGATCACAACTAATTGGTGCGGAAAGAGAACTCATGGAAACCTGGAAGAGCATTGACCGACAATCCCTACATAAAAGTGTCACAGAGAATGGATTGACCTGGATCTTCGGCCCCGCTGATAGTCCTTGGTACCAAGGAGCTGTAGAATCCCTGGCAAAGAGTGCCAAGAGAGCTATTCATTTCGAAATCAATAACCAACGTCTTTCAGTCCAAGAGTTCATGACGGTGTGTAGCGTAGCCACGAACCTCCTCAATGAAAGACCTATCGGAACCCTCCCGAGCGCTGATTCCGAATTAAACATCCTTACTCCCAACAGCTTGTTACTGGGCAGAGCAACGGCGATGAATCCTGGTGGATGGCAGCCTAACGGTAATAATCCAGGAAAGCGTTATCATGTTGTCGAGATCGTGACAGACGAGTTCTGGAAGAAATGGACGGAGTTATACGCTCCCGCCTTGGTTATTCGTCGCAAGTGGAATACAGCCAACCGTAACCTGCGCCCAGGAGATGTTGTAATAATCGCCGACCGTAATACCTTGCGAGGAGATTACCGTTTAGGTATAGTACAAGAAGTGTTTCCCAGTCAAGACGGAAAAGTTCGTCGAGTAAATGTCATGTACAAGAATTTTCAAATTGGAGAAAATGTACAAAAATACAAAGGACATAACGAGGCTGTCATTGTGTCACGAAGTGCTCAGCGATTATCGTTATTAGTACCCGTGGATATGGATCAAGACCAGGAAACCAAGTCGGAAGCAAAAGAGAGTGTATGAACGGACAGTGACATTATATAGTATTGAGTGAACAATGCATTAGAGAAATGTACATTCAGATTTTAAGATGCGATCGCATCGACCCCAGTCCTTCCGGTGTATTGGGTTGTACAGTAATCTCTCTGCGATCGCCTTTTGGATAATTTTTATTTACGTTTCGTTAGAGCATGCGCAGGAGAGCTAAGATGGCGTGCGAAGGAAAACAGTGTTTTACCTAAATCTACTATTTTGTAATTTTCCATA